TATGGTGAAATAATTTCACGTACTTCTTGTACAATTGGTCGATGTACAGTATGACGATTAATATGTGGTTGATCTTCGGAACTAGTTTCTTTCAATGATCCACCAGTACCTTCATGAACACTTTCAACATTAATGTTTGATGAACGGGATTTCATCAAAAAATTAACAGTTGGTGCTGATGATGGTACTTCAATATTCAATGCTGGTGATGTTGATAATGTTGTTGGTACATCATACATTGATACTTTATGTTCAGTATTAACAGCAGCAACAATTGGTCCACTATGTTCATAACTTTGCGACAATAATTGTTGTTGTGGTTGAGCAGCAGCATAATAATATTGTGCTGCTGGAGCAGCAGCCAAATAACCAGTATTCAATAATAATGATGATGATGGTTTAGCCATCAATAATGAATTACCACCGAAAAGACCATAATTACCGGACCATGAATTACCGGAAAGATATTTTCGACCATATGAATTGCTACCATATGAACCACCACTCCACATTGATGATGGCATATAACCGGTAGCTGTTGCCATACCGATCAAAGCCAAACAAATTGTAAACTATAAAAATAAATTTGATTTGAAAAAAATTATAAAAATTTTAAAAATTTTTAAAAATAAATTTACTCGAAGCATGATGATGATGATGATAGTTGTGATGGTTGTTTGTTGTTTTTTTGAGAAGAGAATGTGATATGATTCTTGGTTGAAATTCTTCACCAGTATTTATATCAAAACAGAAAAAAATTCTTCGAATCAAAGTTTAGTAACAGAAGAAGAAGAAGAAGAAGAAAAATCTAGAATCCTTCTGCCATAAAAAGTAGTTCAGGTTTTTTTTTCTAGCTTTTGCATTGAAAAAGGTCATTATCACAATATCGGATAGCCTTGATCAAAAATGTTGCATAACAACAACAACAACAACAAGACGATAATAAATTACTGATCAAATCAAATAAGTATTTCGCGAAGAAATGTTCAAAGAATTTCTTTGTGAAAATTTTTTTAAAAAAATTCTTAAATTGAATTTTATTTTGGTTTTTTTTTCAAAGAAAATAATTTTGATAATCGGATCATCTGATAAATTTTAATTGAATTAATATTTATTGATTATTGATTAATTTGAGTAGCCGAAAAAGTTTATTTTTTCCATGCATCAGATATCATCGGTCTTCATCATCAACATAAACCTCGACGCTTGACAACAACAACAAAAACAACAAATTTGGACATTCAACAAAAAAAGTACATTTTTTAATAAATACCTGTCCATGAAATTTAGCAATAATTTTATGGACAACAATTTTTCAAGCAAATTTGTTTTTGAAAAAAAAATTATTAACAACAAAAAAAAACGATATGCTGATGATGATTATGTAATGAAAATTGCCTTGAAACAAGAAAAAAAAAATCTTTTTTGATAAAAAAACATCAGAAGAGGCCCAAATTTGGTTGCTGTTTATAAATGGAATTTTTTTTTTTTACATTGGGAAAAACCAAATCAACAACATCTGAACATTACAGAATATCCAGGTCGAGAGATTCGATATCGTTTTTTTGTTGTTGTTGAA